GTGTTTACAAGAAGAAAGGCAGAGAAGAAAGAATTTTATCCTTCTTTTAGTAAGTTTATTCTGTAAGTTAATGGTTATGTACGCCATGATGTCTGTCGTGGTTCGATTTTCTTGAACAGTTTATTCTTGATCGGTAATTGGGGTTAACCACTATACTTGTCCAAAAGTTCCATTAACATTTTTTTGTATTTTGGGGTTAACTGTCAAAATAATATATTTTTTAAAAGAATTTAAACTGTTAGCTGAGAGATCAACACTTTTTAACCGATAGCAAATTTCTAAGATCTCAAAAATATCCTGATATCTGAGAAATGAGCTCAAGTTTCTATTCAAAAGTTTAGCCAGGTAGTGAAAATTCAACATGCTGAGAAATGTTTCTAAAATAAGGGAACAAACTTCAGTGAGTTTTACAAAACGTTGCAAAAGGTGTTGATATAAAAGACCTGGGTACAGGATTGTCTGAGGAAAGCAGTAAAATAATCTGGCGAGAGGTTTTGTCCAACACGCCACCATTAGGCCATTAGCTCATCAACATTGATCCCAGGCCCTCTATCCATTTCTTTCCTTCGACAGCTGAACAGAAGGGAACTTGGAAACGAGCTTCTGAATTCGCCATTGCAGTTCTGTCCTCTGTGGTAGGCATGTTCTCTGACGTAATGTAATTAGCTAGGCCAATCATATCGTGCGTTCTAACTTGGCAGACGCATCTAAGACTCGTAAAGAGAACTCCGTTGCAGTTGGGTCTTCGAGCAAAATTGTTCTTTGACCTACAAACCTCACTTCGAGAAGAAAATATGGGAAAGCCTAGTCATATCCCTTTCAGCCGATCTATTCTTCATTTTAGTGATGTTTTGGCGCTTTAGAACGAAAACCTCGGAAGGAAAAAACAACTTCGACAAATCAGCCCAAAGGCTATAAGGTGAAAAGGTCGAAATAAGCTTACGAATGATGGTTGGCGAAACTTCGGCATTTTTGATCATTTTTCAGTGAATAATTCTTCTTCTCTTAGCAATAATTGAATTACGAACTCCTGCAGTTGAATAAGCTCAATATCTTTAGCAAAACTGTCAATCACAAATTTCTTATATTGTCTAGATGGGCATGATTTAAAAACTTGTGTGCTTGCAAGAGGCACAAATTAGGGAGTGGTCACTAAATCCGATTGAACTAACCCTAGAAACAACAAATGTATCAGACTTATTAGCGAGAAAGAGATCTTCAAGGTTATAGAACTGTGTGTAATTTATGTAAGTTCCTAAATAAGCTAAATATATTGGTATGACTCGCTTTATTCAATTAGATAATTCAGATAATCACGTCTCATTCCATTTATTTTCTCTTGAAATTAAGTCACTCTTTAAATCACAACATTAAGATTACAACACTAAGAAATGTTTTTGTTTCTGTTTGCTGTTTTGTAATAACAAACGTATGCAAAACACAGCCCAACAGCTCCTTTAGAAAGTAGTACACTATTCTATTCATTAACTTTGTTTCTGACCCGTCCCCCACGTACCTCCTTACAAACACAGTTGTCGCTAAAGCGATCAAGTGCAACATGCATATGCTGAGGTATAGAGTGGGTTTTACTTGAGTGTCGAAAATAATCCTTTTTCTTTGATTTTGCACCAGTAACTATAACCTTTAAATTAAAGCTGTGTTCATTTGAGTGTCGAAACGTTATTCAGTGGTTTTGCATTAATTAACTAAGCTATACGATTAGCTTAAAAAACTCGCGCCAAAAAACCAAAACGCTTTACTTTAGCTACGTGTAATTAATTCCAGTTTTGATTGGTTCACTGTATTGTCTGTGTGCGCCCTTCGTGATTGGCTAGATTTCCGGATGACTTTGGTTTCAGTTTTACGACACTCAATTGGAAACCGCTCTTAAAAAGACGCGCAACTTTCTTGACTAATCAGCATTCAGTAATGAAACGAAAACCAATCATGACGTTTTCCCGCGCTCCGTGCCCACTACATGTACTTCAAGTTTTGATTGGCCCAGTGGATTGTCTCTGTTGTCTGTGTCCTTCAATTTATGATTCACCAGACGTTGAATATGTTAGTTTTGCTTTTTGAGTCTGAAAGCCACTCTAATGTCAAAAATTTAGAGAAGCAACGTCAGTGCAGTACGCCTAAATTCTTTTTTAAACTTATTGCAGCTTTCTCTCTATAAATCATTAATGGTCAAATAGCCTCAATTTTGCCCAAAGGCTGTTCTGCAACTTTGCTTTATACCTGTGTTGCTTTAATCAGCCGGGGAGGTTTATAAAGTGCCTATGGATTACACCATTCAAAGTTTGAGTAGACTGCAATGAAAATTACGTGTGAATTTTTCTTACAACTCTGATTGTCTGGTGCACCAGCTGTGCAATATCGTCCTCATCTTCGTTGTTCTTTCTTAAACTATCGGCCATATCGGCTGATTAAACTCTCTAAAACAAACTGACGTCAAACTCTTTGATCGCGAAACCATTTGGCCGCGCGATTCGCATGCCAGTTTTAAAGGTAACACGAATAACTCCCAACGCTTGTAAAATCCGCAATTGTTATCATAACTTTCTTACACTTCAGAATAGGCCATTTTACAGTTGTGCACTCAGTTACCTGGCCTATAAATGCAAGGTGACTTTGCTCCAGTTTGATACAGACTGTGCTTTTCTCATTGAAATGTCACCTAGTCTGCATTAATTGACTTACACAACAATAGCGGTGAGATCTGTGTCAAAACAAGGTCACCTCCAGCCTCACTGCCATTCAAAGGCCAGGTCGCTGATCAAACAGCTGTTATTAGGGAGCTTAAGGGCCCATTAACCGATCTTTTCGAGTCGTTGCTGAGGAAAATTTAGTCTCATCTAACCTTCTCATTTTTAGTTAGTTCAGAGTTATTTCCTGTGCTTCAACTTTTTCATGACCAGTAACACTAGTGATGACGTCATCAGGCTCCCGGGCAAATTACTTTCTCGT